GGGATGTGTTTTCATTTTGCTTATGGTTTCCTTTGCTATACAAGAGCTTTTAAGTTTAATGAGGTTCCATTTATTTTTGTTTTTATTTTCATTACTCTAGGAGGTGGATCAAACAAGATTTTGCTGCGATTTATGTCAAAGAGCATTCTCCCTATGCTTTCTTCTAAGAGTTTTATAGTGTTCAGTCTTACCTTTTGGTCTTTGATCCATTTTGATTTTATTTTTGTGTACAGTATTAGAGAATGTTCTAATTTCCTTCTTTAACCTGCAGCTGTTCAGTTTTCCTAGTACTATTTATTGAAGAGACTGTCTTTTCTCTATTGTATATTCTTGCCTCCTTTGTTGTAGATTAATTGACCATAGGTTTGTGGGTTTATCTCTGGACTTTCTATAGTGTTACAGTTCAGTTCAGTCACTCAGTCGTGTCTGACTCTTTGTGACCCCATGAACTGCAGAGCAAAGCATGCCAGGTCTCCCTGTCCATCACCAACTCCCAGAGCTTGCTCAAACTCACGTCCATCAATTCAGTGATGCCATCCAGGTATCTCATCCTCTGTCGTCCCCTTCTCCTCCCACCTTCAATCTTTCCCAGCATCAGGGTCTTTTCAAATGTGTCAGTTCTTTGCATCAGGTGGCCAAAGTATTGGAGCTTCAGCATCAGTCCTTCCAATGAATATTCAGGACTGATTTCCTATAGGATGGACAGGTTGGATTTCCTTGCAGTCCAAGGGACTCTCAAGAGTCTTCTCCAACACCACAGTTCAAAACCATCAATACTTCAGTGCTGAGCTTTCTTTATAGTCCAACTCTCACATCCATACATGACTACTGGAAAAACCATAGTTTTGACTGGATGGACTTTTGTTGGCAAAGTAATGTCTTTGCTTTTTTAATATGCTGTCTAGATTGGTCATAGCTTTTCTTCCAAGGAGCAGGTGTCTTTTAGTTTCATGACTACAGTCATCATCCACAGTGATTTTGCAGCCCAGGAAAGTAAAGTCTGTCACTATTTCTGTTGTTTCTCCATCTGTTTGCCATGAAGTGGGACCAGATGCCATGATCTTAGTTTTTTGAATGTTGAGTTTCAAACCAGCTTTTTCACTTTCCTTTTTCACTTTCATCAAGAGGCTCTTCAGTTTCTCTTCGATTTCTGCCATAAGGGTGGTATCATCTGCATATCTGAGGTTATTGATATTTCTCCTGGCAATCCTGATTCCAGCTTGTGCTTCATCCAGCCCGGCATTTTGCATGATGTACTCTGCATATAAGTTAAACAAGCAGGGTGACAATATACAGCCTGGACGTACTCCTTTCCCAATTTGGAACCAGTCTGTTATTCCATGTCTGGTTCTAACTGTTGCTTCTTGACCTGCATACAGATTTCTCAGGAGACAGTTCAGGTGGTCTGGTATTCCCATCTCTTTAAAAATTTTCCACAGCTTGTTGTGATCCACACAAAGTCTTTGGCATAGTCAATAAATCAGAAATAGATATTTTTGTTGAACTCTCCTGATTTTTCTATGATCTAACTGATGTGGGCAATTTGATCTCTGGTTCCTTTGCCTTTTCTAAATCCAGTTTGAACATCTGATTCTCAGTTCATGTACTGTTGAAGCCTGGCTTGGAGAATTTTGAGCATTACTTTGCTAGCGTGTGAGATAAGTGCAATTGTGCAGTAATTTGAGCATTCCTTGGCATTGCCTTTTTTGGGGATTGGAAAGAAAATTGACCTTTTCCAGTCCTGTGGCCACTGCTGAGTTTTCCAAATTTGCTGGCATATTGAGTGCAGCACTTTCACAGCATTATCTTTTAGGATTTGAAATGGCTCACCTGGAATTCCATCACCTCCACTAGCTTTGTTCATAGTGATGCTTCCTAAAGCCCACTTGTCTTTGGACTCTAGGATGTCTGGCTCTAGGTGAGTGATCACACTATCACTGTTATCTGGGTCATGAGATTTTTTTGTATAGTTCTTCTGTGTATTCTTGCCACCTCTTAATATCTTCTGCTCCTGTTAGGTCCATACCATTTCTGTCCTTTATTGTGCCTATCTTTACATGAAATGTTCCCTTGGTATCTCTAATTTTCTTGAAGAGATCTCTAGTCTTTCCCATGCTATTGTTTTCCTCTGTTTCTTTGCATTGATCACTAAGGAAGGCTTTCTTATCTCTCCTTGCTATTCTTTGGAACTCTGCATTCAGATGGGTATATCTTTCCTTTTCTTCTTTGCCTTTCGCTTTTCTCAGCTATTTGTGAGGCCTCCTTAGACAACCATTTTTGCCTCTTTGTATTTCTTTTTCTTGGGGATGCTCTTGATCATTGCCTCCTGTACAATGTCACAAACCTTTGTCCATAGTTCTTCAGGCATTATCAGATCTAATCCTTTGAATTTATTTGTCACTTCCACTGTATAATTGTAAGCAATTCAATTTAGGTCATACCTGAATAGCCTCGTATTTTTCCCTACTTTCTTCAATTTAAGTTTGAATTTGGCAATGAGTTCATGATCTGAGCCACAGTCAGCTCCTGGTCTTGTTTTTGCTGACTATATAGAGCTTCTCCATCTTTGGCTGCAAAGAATATAATCAATCTGATTCAGTGTTGACCATCTGGTGATGTCCATGTGTAGAGTCATCTCTTGTGATGTTCCATTGATCTATTTTTCTGTTTCTGTGCTGGTACCATACTGTTTTGATTACTGCATCTTTGGGAACTGCTAATAGGGATTATATTTGGAAAAGATGAACTTTTTCCCCTTCATAATTTAGTATTTTGACAGTAAGTAGTTGTAACTTTTATAATCAGAAAAGCATTTTCCTTAAAGAAATAAGGAGGAATCCTGCCTGTCAAGACAATCTCAAGACTGTCACCCACTAAGATTCCACAAATTCCAGCCAAAATGAATCTTTGTTCTACAACTTCATTATTGTGCTTTTACCTTATATGATCATATTCCTTCATATTTGGCATTTGCATAGTATTTTTTCTTCTATGCAGCTATAAATGCAAGCCTAACAACAATAACCATACTTTCATTTTCAGAAAATGGCAGCTCTCTTATCTCACTTGAACCTGATAATACTATACACAGACAGGGCAGATCCAGTCTCTTGGGCTCTGATTTCATGGAGGGCAGGTATTGGGAGTCTTCGTCATTGTCTCCCAGTGCCTCTCACAGTGGGTGCTCACTGTGTACTTGCTGGGCTGAATAGACTTCCTCTTCCCATGATAAACTTGTTTCCAGTCAATCCTGACCTGAGAAGGACTGGATGGCGGCATAAATGCACCAGGTGATGGGATGTCATGAGTGCAGGTAAGGCCTTTCCTTCTCTCCTGAAATTGATGCCATTATGCCCAGCCCATAGGGATGAATTTTCTGGGTTAGGGTGTTTCTGTCCCAGTTAGAGTGGTAAGTGTCCCTGGGGCCATAATGCAGTCCCCATACATCACAGAACATTCCTCAAAGGCTGCCCCGAGGATGACACGGGAAGTAGAAACCAAAGCCACACAGGGGGTGAGGAGCTGGGAATAGGTGAGGCAGCAGTCCCAGAGTACCCCTTCTCTGCCTCTTGCTTCTAGCTGTGGAGCCATTACTGGTGTGAGTAAAGCACTTGCCAGGGTGTGAAGCATTCTATAAGAGAGAGCCTGGAGTTGGGCTTCAAGGGCGCTATTGGTGGGGTGGGCATGGAGGTTGTAGGTGAGTACCTCTCTTAGTCTTTCTCTTTGTGATTTGTGTCTTTCTTCTGCTTAAATGGCTGACAGGGTAAAGAAGAAGCCGGGTTTTCATTGTTCCTCCCTCACCCCTAACATACACACCTTAAAATAAGCAGCAGATACCAGAGCAGGACCCAAGGGGAAAGGCAACCTGTGGAGGTGGCAGAAGCTCCCCACAAGATCCAAACAGAGAAGCCTGGTGCCCCCAAAACCCAGCTCACCAGTTGAAAGGACCTAACAGAGACTTAAGCTACTGTAAATTTGGCAAGCACAGATCTCAATTTCCAAACTAATTGAAATCTCTTTGTCTGTCGGTCCTCTTTTGAACTCCCATTCTCCTGAAGTTTGGGCAGAAATTTCTGTATCTAAACAACTTGGCTATCCCCTTGGGACATCGTTCCTTTAGGTTTTAGACTTTTGGAAACCAAGGCGAGAACTTCCTTTCATTCTGCTTTCTATCCTCCTGCAGCCCTTCCTTGAGGTGTTGGATGAACAACAGCTTTGTCATTTGAATCCAAGCAAGAGCAAAGGGAAGAAAACAAAGCAGTGGCTATCTCACAGATGATGTCCTGCTGTGTAAGCAGGAGCTCTTTTCCCATAGAAGTGACAAGAGGCTGAGGCAGAGAGCTCATGGAGGAGGGCCTGGGGGCTCAGGATTCCTGCTGCGTCCTCTTCGGAGACAAGAGCTGACAATGAGGACTTGTCCCCTTGACAAGAAAAGAGGGATACAATTTTTGAACAATCATTTATTTTAAAATTTTACATAATCTTTGGATAATTCAGAAATAGCTTAGGACATGATTCAGAATTTTCTGAGATTGACGTCTCAACTCCAGGCCAATATCAATAGCTTATTTGATTGAGATGGGAAGATTTGAGGACTTCATGATATAGAATGAACAGATGGCTACTGAATAAAACAGAACAGCTTAGAGACAGTGGCTTTCCTACAGGACACAGTCATAATTTTTAAATTGCCTGTCACAAATATAAAACATTTAATCAGACTAACGAGAGTATCCACATCTTATTTGCTTTCTACCCGTTTCCAGGTTGAGAAAGCACAATTAAATTAACTTGATTATTAACACATAAAAGCTAGCATCTACCCAGTGTAGTCTCAGTGTCCACATCAACATATCTCTCCTGGCAATGGAATGCCACCTCCCTCTGCACTCCATGCTCATGATTCAATGACTGCCAGGAATTCTTGAGCCCAGAGATGTGGGAAAAGCCCAGGGTCACAGCGGCCAGTGGCCCAAGTGCTCTGCCCATCCCAGAGCGGATCAGGCCTGAGCAGGGACACGTTCTGCACACTCCTCTCCCTCAGATGGTTGCCAGGGTGTTCCAAGCAGGGTAGGTATTATTGTCTCCCAATAGGACATTACATTCCCTGAGAACAAAGCCCACTCTCTGGCCTGCTTCACAGTAGGATGCTGCCAGGTGTGGGCACAGGGCAGGATCTTAGTAAAGGAAGGGAGGAATCCAGCATGCACTGAGCACCTGCCTTCTCCCAGGTAACCCTCATGGCACCTGGGAGGCAGGCTCACCACCCATTTTACAGATGTGGAAATAGGCTCAGAGAGGAGAATTTGCCCATGGTGGCATAGCAAGTAATAGCGGAGCATCACTTTGAAAACCCAGGGCTTCTCACTCCAGGGCTCTTTCTACTGCCTGCACAAGCCAGCGGTTTGACCATAAATGAGTACTCCAGTTCCACAACAGCTGGTCTGGACCTCCAACACTCAAGACCCATGAGCACATGGGGCTAGCTCAGGAGTCCAGAAGCCTGGTCCAGTCTACTGTGGCGCCCCATCAGGGTAGGGGACTTAGCACAATAGTCCAGAATGTCTGTGTGGACAGACCACAGCAGACAGACCTCTGTCTGGAGACCTTGATGTTGCTCCCTTGCAGATGGGGATGAGGGCACAGCACTTTGATACACCTGGTGAGAATTAGTCATGATCTCCAAGGTTCTGACCTCTGAGAACGACTCCTAAGTCCTAGGAAACCATGTTCCCACTCCCTGAGAGGCCTTTCACAAAAGGCCCATGAAGGTAAAAAAAAAAAAAAAAAAAAAGTCAGGAAATTTTAAAATGGAAAATGCATGAAAGTAATTTGGGAGGGGGAAGATTAAAGGGGAAAACAGGATGGCAGGAGGAGGTTTGGGGGTAGGCATCAAAAAGGAAGAGTTGGATAGGCTGTGCACACCCAGCTGGTAGGCTAGGCTGGCTCAGGCCAGGTGAGCCTGGGGAAATCAGGATTTTGGCATCTGGCTTGCCTGGCATCTGTATGGGGCTTCAGTTGATGCCTCAGACAGGAGGAGGGGGTTTCCTCAAAAAGTGCCTTGGCCTGTAAACTCAGGCAGATCTTAAATACAGGTAATAAAGGCAGATAGGAAAACACATCTCAGATGACTTAGACAAAATCTGCTTAACATGTTTCTCCTCTTCTAAAATCCACTGCACAGCCCCCAGCTCTGTAAAGCCCTCTATGACCCACTGACACGCAAAGAGTGTGGTCCCTCCTGGGTGCAAAAACAGCCACACAGCAAGCCCACACCCACAAGCCCCAGTGCATCAAGCACACTGAATCCATCTGGTCCTTTGCACTGATCTATATGCAACTTGAGGATGGAGACTGTACCTTTTTTCCTGTTTCCCTGGTTCGCAACAACATCATTCTGGTGGGGAAAGCAGACCAGTTTTGGCAGCCCTGGTGGGAAAGGTGGATCTTGCATTTACCTGGGTTGGGGGTGGGAGGACCCTCTCTGGAAGGAATGCTAAACGGGTATACATGAGTGAGACAGGAGGCTCTGGGTTCACACACCCCCGTGACAACAGGGCAGGCTGGGCTGGGGGCCCTGCCCTTGAGTTTCTGAAGCCCTAGGGCTCTTGCTGCCTGGAGTGTGGGCTGTGATTATTCAAGAACACAGTCTTCCTTCCCAGGCCTGGGGTGGCCAGAAGACCGGCTGTAAAATGCCAGTGGACAAGGGTGAGGGGGCCTGGCTGGGGAGCTTATGCTCCGCAGCGAATTGTCCGGAAGCCAGGCAGCGTGGCTTTTCCAAGCAGGTAGATGTCCTCGTCCGTGCCAAGGTTGAGGTGCTTCACCATGTTCTTCTCAAAGAGGAGTGGGTGGTAGGCACCCATTGTGCAGGCACTGTCGAAATACTTCTGATAGTAGTAGCACACATCAGTCTTGCGCTTGGATGGGAGGAACTCGTAAATATCCACCTGGTCACACAGCGACATCATAATGACGATGCCTGGAGAGGAGAGCAGAGGTGAGTCCTACGCAGTAGCCCACCCTGGCTCCGCGGAGTTCTGCCCAGGGAGCCCCACAGCTCATGCCCTGAAAGCTGGAGAGGTGTCTGCCAGAATGTTTGTCTGAGTGTGTTCCCAGTCTGAGTTGCTCTGGTAAGCCCATCCAACAGGCCGCTCCTCAGGGTGCAAGGCTCACGAACCTTCGTATGCTCAGCACCCAGGTCAGAGCCCGGTGCCCAGCAGGTCCTCCTAAACATTGATGAATTGAAGGGCTCCACCATCAGCCAATGAATTGATCACTGTCAATAAGCTTTATGAAGAGAGAGGACCAAGGTGACCGAGGAGACAGAACCATTCCATGCAATATTACTTTCTCTCATGTCTGTATCTTGGATGAGCCTCGTAGCTGGTTATTTGGGAGGTGTTTCTTACACTCATACCTAGCGAAACAATGAGGGGAAGGAAGGCTTCGTGCCTCAGGTGGGAGGGGGACAGCTGTTAGAGGAGCATGCGCTGGTCTGTATTGATGGGCTCAGTCAGGCAGGAGAGAGGAGCTGAGAGAGTGTGGTGGGTGGTGCGCTCAGGGAGGGGTACGGAACACAGAGGTGCAGACCCAGCAAGAGACGGGGGATGCCTCCCACCCGCTATGCTTGTCCCCACCCGGCTCAGCCATCTCCTGCAGGACATGTCCCTCTCAGGTTCTCCACCTGTCCCAAAGGGGCGATCTAGCCACTCTCCTTACCACACAGGCTACTGTTCAGATGCAATAAGATTGTGGCTCTAAGACTGCTCTTGTCAACCATCAGTATAGGGAACTTTTATGATGAACAGTTCTTACTAACAGCAGACTTGTAAAGTGCTAACAGCAGCTGTGTTCCGAAGAAGGAGACCTGGGGAAAGCCCTGTTAACCCCCTCTGGCTGTCCCCACCCTGTGTGACAGGCGAGAAAAGACATCTGCAACTAAGCGATGACAGCACAGCAGTCGTGCTTCCAGATGAGGGGAGGGGGGCTTCTATGACAGCAGGTTCTCATGAGCCCCCGGAGCATGGGTGTGGGGGCTGGCAAGGGCTCTGGCCATGAGGGAGGGGCAAGGGGGAAGGGCTGCTGGTGGAGGGGACAGCACAAGCAAAGGCAGGCAGTAGGGCAACAGGAGAGTGTCCCTAGGTTGCTCTCCATCTACTTCTGCTCCAAAGGGGTCCAGGGAGTACCCCCAGGGCAGCTATGCACAAGTGGAAGAGAAAGGCAGAAAGCAGATGGGATACCGAAAGCACCTTCATCTCTATCAGAAAATGCCTCTGATAATAAAGTATTTGTTCATTTACTCAAAGAACATTTACCTCAGGCCTGTCCTGTGCCAGACCCACAAGGATGAGGCAAACACAGTTCCGTCCTGAGGGAGCTGCAGTCTAATAGGGAAGGCAGGTGGGCAGATGACAGTGAGTGCCAGGGGGCATCTAGCAGAAAGTGCCTGTGCTCCAGCTGCACTCAGTGGGAGGGAGCGAGGGGCAGACAGGCCATGAGGGCAGAGAGCTGTCGAGTAAGAAAGTCTGCAGCCAGCACTCAGGGCCCTCAGCACTCTGACCCCGGCCCACCCCCACATCGGCACCCACAACTCCATCTGTGACCCCCAAACCAAGTGCAGCTTCACCACCCAGTCTTCTCTCAGGGCCACAGACAGGGTGGTCACTAGGTGAAATTCTGAATATTATCGATTGTTCCATTTTCTTCAGATTCTAATATGGCTCAGGACAATAATGACATTATTATTGATCCTTTATTAAAATTTTAATATTTTGTCTATCATGAAATTTTTCACTGTGATTTTTTTAAAGACACTATTAAGATATCATTTGTTTCTGAATTTCATGGCAGCTTCTTAAATTGTACATCTGAAGTAGGTGCCTGGCTGGCCTCACCCAAGTCCCAGCCCTACTCCTCCTGCCTCATCTTTTCTGTGCTTCCCTTTTTACTCCATCTCCACTTGCCAGATCCTCCCCTTTCCCAGGCCTGGTCCTGTTCTCCACAAATTTCTCAGGCTGTCTCCCTAGAAGGGGTCCTCTCTCCTATGGCACCGAGCTGGTCACGCTTTCCTGGCACAAACTGAATGTTGCCTCAGACACCTGACAACGCTCCCACTGGACACCCTGAAGTTAAGGAAGAAGATTCTATCATATTGATCTCTGTGTCTTAGTTGGAATTTGCCTCAGCATAAAAATAGAGCAAAAAACTAGCAACTGTTTGGTAAACGAACAAACGAATGAGCCCCCAGAAGAAAGCTACTCTATTCTGGAGACAAGCACCAGAGTTCCTTCTCAGACATGGACTCACCGAGCATCCCAGAGGATGGGGGGTTTGGCTGGATCTGCTCTGAGGAGATTTCCTGAATGATGTCCCACAGCTCCCAAGGCATCTGGGGCTTGAGGATGTAAAAGGGCTGATCAGGATGCAGCTTACGATAGCTCTTGAAGTTATTGAAGAAACTGTAGTCGGGATTCCTGTACCACTGAAAAAGAAGGAAGAGGTCTCCTCAAGGAGAGCAATGGGCTGGTCTGCTGCCGCCCCTGGCGGTCGTCCTCCTCTGAGGACTAGGGGAGGTGGGGAGGGACCAAGGCAGACTCCTGAGAGACAACCCTTCATTGAGATAGACTCCAGGCTTCTCCTCCATATCACAGCTCTCACTTGATAGCAGGGCACCCAGCACATAGCCTGTGCTCACAGGGACATTTGAGCTTGGTGACCATGGAACAGCTTCAGACCTCAGGATCACAGACTGGGAAAGATATCAGAGCTGAGAGGGCCTCTTGGCCCTATCTAACCCCACCTCTCTTTTTTAAAGGGGTCCCAGTTTTCACCTGGGACCCAGATTGCCACAGCTGTGGACTCACAGTCCTTGACCTGACCCAGGCAAATTTCAGTTGTGAGATCAGTGCAAAACTGTAAACTGAGGTAGTTAGAGGAAGGTGCCAGGGATCACCAGAGCCTGTCAGCTACCCGTGTGTCCAGCATGAGAATTGAGTCTTCCAAGGACAGTGCTCTCTGTCCCTCCTCCTTAAAGCCTTTCTCCTGTGGCCCCTGGAGCCCATGCCAGGGAGAGGCCAGCTGATTTGTGTGACAAACAGTGAGAGGCCAGAGAAGCCAGAGCCCAGCAGGACTGCGACTCTGTCTCCTGCCCTGGAAAAGCTGATGTTGCAGATCTGGGCCCTCTGCTTAGCAAATCAAGTCCCAGGCAGATAACCCTACCACCACCACCACATTCTGTTTTCCTCATCTGTAAAATGGGAATAACCACGTTTCTGCCTACTTCTTTCTGTTGCTGTAAGAGTGAAATGAAAAGTGTCTGGAAACTTAAGTGTGGGACAAGTAACATTATGATAACATTGTGTAGAGGAAAGATAATAACAACTGTCTATGCCTGCTACTGCTCATCAGAAGTAACTGTATTCCATGAACACAATCCACCCCAGATGGTGGGAAATCCAGCCACTACTACTCCTGATACAGACCCTAGTTGGGAGACAAATACATGGCAATGCAGGGCGGGTATGGAGAGCACTGGTATAGGACAGGAAACCTCCGGAACAACTAATCCAAAAGTGAGGTGCCCTGAAATGAAACCAGTCAGCCCTCAGGGTGGCCCAGTTCAACCACAACTTTAAAAACCCAGTACCTCAGGGAAATGTATAGAAAACAGGTGACTCAATCCCAATTCCCCATGGACATCCACTTACCTTTGGGATATCTGAATGGTAAATAGATGGGTCCCATACAATTAGGATTCCTTCATTGTACAAACTGTCTTTGAGGAAGCCCGCTTCTGTGGTGACCAACTGCAGGAAGAAACAGAAAGGCTGTCACCTGGACGTTTACATGTGAGTGTTGGCTTGTTACCTGACACATCGTAAGTGCCACCTGAGGCCCCAGAAGTGTCTAAGTTTTGGTGCAGCACTTGTGAGAAGAAGGCAAAGATGACAGCTGGAACTGTGTGGACCTTAAAGGACATTTTGTCATAACCCATCAGCCACATAGCAGAAAGGGTTCCACTCAGACTTTTGAGATTATTGGAGAAAGGGTACAGTGAACATGACTTGGGGTAGAGTCCCCTGCAGTCATGCCTCATATGGAGGTCAGGGGGCTGAGGTTTAAAGTCATAATCACATATAACCAAAATGATCTCTGAAAAGCCCTTCAATCACCTATCAAGCCCAGCATATAGTAGTTACTATTACAAAGCATGTTGGAGACAGATCTGGGACATCTGAGAGTCCAGTATGGGCACTGGTTTCTGCCACATTGGACCGGATGGCAGAATCTGTGCTTGAGCACCAAAGTAGTTGCCCATGTGGAGGGGCCATGGCATACGCTTAAACATGAGAATCCCCCCAGGCTGGGGAGAGGCTCACATGCACCTTGCTGAGGAACCAGCCAGCCCCTGTCCTCCCCACACACTCAGGCTCCCCAGCTCTTGGGCTAGCCTGGGCAAATGTCTCATCTGTGAGTGCAGGTAACACTGCCCTCCTATCTCAGGAGCTGTCCTGAGGATCCAGTGGTGGCACTGCAGCAACTGAGAAAGACCAAGGAGGGGCCTGAAGGCTTAGCAATGAAAGAAGCTATGTCCCTCTTAAGGGACAAAGCTGATACACGAGACCAGCTGTCAGTCACCTTAAAAAGCACGTGGGAGATACTGCCCAGGTTTAAAATGAGAGGAACAGATGGCAGAAATCAAATCAAGAACTGACTGGAATTGAAAGCAAGAATCACAACAGCAACCCCTCTCCACATCGATCACTCACCATCACGAAGGCTGAGACCTGAACAGTGTCCCACTGTGGGAAGATGGGTGGTCTGTAAACCAAGAGCAGCAGTCTGCCATGAGCCTTTAAGATCACTCAGCTATCCCATCCCCAAACCTTGCCTTAGATGTAGGAAGGTCCTGGGAGCCTGAAGAACATAATCCCGTTTCTTCAGTGTATCTTTGAAAGAAGAAATATTGGTGGCGGGCCCACCTTGGCCAGAGACTGTGCAGGTGTATGGGGTGCTGAGGAGCCCCAGGCAGCCACAGGGCACCAGAGTGAGGAGGGGCGCGAGGTACCATTGCTAAGGGACAGATAAGGCCAGGCCAAGCCAAGGGACTGAGACGGGAGAGGGAAGAGGACCTGGACAGAAAGAACAACGTGCACAGCCCCAGATGTGAGACTACACGGCAGGCTGCTAGGTGCCACCCCATACCCATTCTCTCCTTCCTGGGAAACAACGTCCACCTCAGCACATGGCTATCTAAAATAAAGACTAGCCAAAATAAAAATTTCCTAGCCTAACAGCTAGGTGTGGCTGTGTGACAAAATGTTGGCCAATGGTGTGTGAGCAAGCGTGAGTCCCAGAAACTGTTCTTTGAGTCAGGGTTATGACCTTCCTTGTTCCTCCTTCCCGCTGCAAAAGGCGGGTGTAATCGCTGTAGTCTGAGCAGCCACCTTGGACCATGTGGAAGTCACATGGTAGAATGGCAGGTGCATGAAGGCGCAGAAGTCTGGGTTCCTGCCTCTCTGGAACACTATTCCAGCTCTAGACTCCTTTTACATGAGAAATATATCCATTTTGTCAAACCAGTATTGAGAGGTGGGCAGAGAATTCTTGTCACTTGCAGACAAACCTAATTCCAGTTAGTAAAGTGAATACCTTGTTTAGGAATTGCAGGTTGTCCAGTGTGGCTTAGACACAAAAGGAGACCTTGAAGGAGTCAGAGAAATGTAGGCAAGTGCCACACGGGAGAGCTCAGGGTTTCCTCAGTAGATTACAGGACCAATGAAGGCTCGTGAGAAGGATCCAAACAGACCAGTGTTCTGGACTAGAGTTTTTACAGAAAAGGAAGCTCAGATAGAAGATGCTACTGTAGCATAAGTGAAAATGATCGGGACATTAAAAAGTTACAACCATCAGCTGTATAAATAACTCATGTACAAATATGAATAATCAAGTCAATAGTATCTACCTACTAGGGTTGCTGCAAAGGTTCAATGACAGAATGTCTTGTAGACTTGCAGACTAACTGGATGTTGAAAGTGAAGGAAAAAGAAGTCAAGGTGAGTCCTGGACCTCAGGCCATTTTCCTAAAACTATAACATGGAAAGAACAGCTGCTGGTATGTGGGGATAGAATAGAGTTTTGAAGTTCAAGGATGAGGCAACTGGCCTAGAGTCCTATAGGCGAGAGGCCATAGGAACCAGAAGTGGGACCCACATCTTCCAACATTAAGCACTGTCCTCTTTCTGTGAGAAACATGGTAACTCACAGCATAGGCATTCAGTGTTATAGTCCAAAGGCAGAGTGGGCATCCTGGAAGACAGGGCTTTGCAAGATAGACATAAGGGGTGGGCAGAGGGACACCCACTAGTTTATACATGACTTTCAAGAGTAAACTCTGCAATTTCACTCCCTGTCCCCACCGCACTCTGCACCAACCCCACCACCACCAAAAACTGCTGGTATACTGAAAGTGTCCTTTCTTCAGCTATGCTTCTTTCTATGCAGAGGACTGACACCAGGTGATTTATCCCTAACTCATGAGGATTAGCGACTGGGATTTTTAAAAAATGTTTCTCTCAAGCATGTCTTTTTAGTACACAAAGCCGGAGGCCAGGAGCAGTACTTCCTGCACCTTGATACTCTCCCGGGGTCTGTGGTGTTACTGTCCTCACAAATCCAAGAGAGATGCACAGTTTTCTCCTTTATGATAAAGGATAACTATGATGATAGCAGATGCTGCTTAAATGATGTTTATTCTAAGCCAGATACTTTTAGATGTTACTTAAGTTCATTTTTACAACAATCTTAGGTAGCAATTCTTAATATACCCATTTTATAAATAAGGGAGTAGACTCAGAGATGCTAAGTATTAGTAGTTTACCCAAACCATATGGCTAATAACTCGGGGAGTCTGAATGGGATCCCTTTTGTCTGGTTCCAGATTCTACACTTCTGATCAGCCTACTTCACTGCCAAGAAGATAGGGTGGAACACCCGTGGCAGAAAATGTCAAAGAAAGCACTTGATGAGGGTTGTGAAAGTGTCATGAGGGAGTTCCCTGGTGGTCAGTGGTTATGAATCCACCTTGCAATGCAGGGGTCATGGGTTCCATCCCTGGTCAGGGAACTAATATCCCACACGCTGTCAGGGAATTAAGCTTGCATACCACAGCTAAGACCTGACACAGCTAAATAAATATTTTTAAAAAACATGTCACAAGAATTTTGCTTCCTGTCTAAGTTTTCATGTGTCATACAGGAAAATCCTCAAAAGACTGAATCCAAACCCATGATTCTCAGAAGGGTAAACTGAGGTCTGAAGAGGAGAGAGACTTGTCTGAGACTTCAAGCTGATAAGGCAGAACCAGGACCAGATTTCAGAGCCTGGCTCTCAGCAGACTGTTGTTATTCAAATAAACCAGCACACTCTGAGGATCAGACTGATCTCAGTTCTCACTGTACACAGTGGGGAAACGGTCATTCACTTGAGCCACTTGAGACAAGTGAGAAAGTAACCTAGAAAACTGAGAAGAGATGAAGATAAATTCTTGTTTTATCTGGACAGAAGGAAAAGTAAGTGACTGGGGCTGGGATCTGGTGGAAGGAAAGAGGAGAAACCAGAAAGCACCCTTCAGCCTTAGAAGAACACAGCTCTGGACTTATATTAATTTTGGTACCCCTTTATATGAGGGTCAAAGATTTCCTCAAAAAAAAAAAAAGCCTTAAAATTGTTTGGGGAATTGGGAGACTACTTTGTGTCTAACTCACTCGTGGTCTTAGGAAGGTCATTGCCCTTTCTGGGCCCCAGGTGCCTTATTTATAAGACATGACCATCCTGTAAGGCCCTGCCTGGGTGACTAGACATGTCTGGACAACATCTCAGTCCTTTGTCCAATTGCAACACAAGGGACTTAAAAATAAAGCTGTTCTCAAATGCTCCTGTACTCACCCTCATGCAGAGTCTGACCTGAGTTCAGGGATCCCCAGGGCCTCACGATAGTCATTTTCAGAGCAACGGACCCCCAAGGAGAACGTGCCAGGGAAAGACTACACTGGGGAGATGGGTTGTTGCTATTTAGAAACCCATTTAAAGTAGCCTTTCTAGTCATAAAGTTAGAAACAGTCACTGCAGAAAGTTAAGAGAATACAAGAATGCATGTGCGCGCACACACATCCATCTATCTATATACGTATAGAAGAAAGTAATCATACATAATTGCATTCTCCAGATATTCCCACTGTGAGTATGTGGGTCTTTTTTCTCACCAGATCTTTCTTTTCCTCTCTTACAAACTGAATTGTGTCCCTTCCAAATTCATATGTTGAAGCCCTAACCGCCTATGTAATTATATTGGAGATAAGGCTTTGGAGAGGTAATTAAGATTAAATAAGGTCATAAAGATGGGGCCCTAGTCTAATAAAACTGACATCATAATAAGATAGGGAAGAGATAGCAGAGATTTCTCTCTCCCCTCAACTCATATGCACACGTGGTGGCGTAGAAGGTGACCATCCTCAAGCCAGGAAGAGCCCTTGTCAGAAACCAACCTTGATAGCACCTTGACCTAGTACTTCTGGCCCCCAGAACCGTGAGAAAACAAATTACTATTGTTTTGGCCACGCCATCTGTGGTGTTTTGTCCTGGTGGGCCTAGAAAATTAATACACCTTCTGTGTGGGTGTGGGTGTAGATACTGATATATCTTAACTAGAGAGTCTAGACTTAACAGTTTTGTTAAACTCACACAACAGTCCAGTTTGAGGTCTTTTCATTTACTCCTCACAATATTTCCAAGCCCCAAACAGGGC